TCATCTCCACCAGCTCCTCCAGAAAAACTCTTCAACTTATTGCTTAACATTTGGTTCATGAGAAACGCCATAGCTTACTCAGAATATTTTTTTCAGTCCTTCCAATGGAGGATAAAACGGCTTGAGGAGAGGTGAAGAGCTTCAAATAATAAAAAAAGAAGTTATTTACTGGAGCTACTTGCTAATCAAAATGAAACCTTGCCTGTTGTGTGTGATGATGATCAGACTGTATCAATAACTTGTAGCTGAAGTAAAACCGCTAAAGAGCTTAGCTCATAATTGACAGGCTGCAGACAATGGAGAGTATTTACCTTGTCAACAAGATGCAGAGGGATATGATAGGCCCTCTGGATGAAGACCAGACCTGTCTTCTTACTTAATCAAATAACCGGGATGGGAATGCAATAGTGAAATAATAATGCAGACCTAGACGTGAAAGTGTAAATACATTCATAATGTATTTGTAGCGTACAGATTCAAGTTTAACATCAGTTATAACAAAAGATCTCAGTCATACAGAGCTGAGAATGTAAATAACGTTGCAGTGAAATCCTAAAAGTGATGGTGGTTTTGTTATTTCGTTTAAAAATAATAGTGGTTTAAAAACAAAAGTCTGTTTGAACTTGTTAAAGATGTCTCTCTGCTTCAACACACCTGATTTAAATCAATTGATGACCTCATTAGCTTGTTGTCAAATTCAGCCCAAGATGATTAACAACCCATTAATTTCAACCAGGTGTGTGAGGCAGCGAAGCGTGTAGTGTTAAATATGGCACAGCTTCCAGAAATGTTATAAGTTAAGTAGATTTATTTCAGGATCTAGCTTTAAAACTGTAATGTGGCTCCATGAAAACCATTCCAAGGCAAAACAAACAAGAAATATGAAAATAATTATATCAAAGAAAAGTACACAGACTTCAACAACTTTAATTCCTCTTTTTTGTTAAATGTAAACCGCTTTTTTCGGATGATTCCTTTTTTTGGTATCAGATTCTGTGCAGCTGGAAGGATTTTTACTGAAACCTTTTTTTACTTTTGGACATTTGTTATGATGCACAACCATAACAACAAGGTAGTTTTTTACAGCTGGAGCAGCATTTCAAAAGTTGCTCAAATAATACCTCAGCTACAGCTCCAAATTCCAGATGAGTTGAAAAGGAGGTGTCGTGGATGCATTCCCATCTATCTGGCAGTGGTGCTCGAGTGCTTGACTGCTGAGATCCCGAAGCTGGTTGAAAACGTGGCTTGTGGCAGCGGGATGACCAGTATCATCCCTCGACACCTGCAGTTCCATCCGCGGGGACGAGGGGCTCGGCAGCTGCTGGGAGGAGTGGCTATTTCTCGGGGAGGAGTTCTGCCCGGCATTCAGGCAGTCCTGCTGCCCAAGCGGACCAAGATGTCTGCTGGGTCCAGGTGGACAGCTCGACAGCTGCAGCCAGTTTCTTTGGATCTGCTGTGGGAAGGACTGCTGCAGATCCTTCCTGCCTACAAACAGCATCTATAACAACTCTTTAATGAAAACAGGATGATGAGCTACAACAACAATTCATTTCCCTTTGGGAATTAATAAAGTATTTTTGAATTGAATTGAATTAACACAGAGGCAAATAAAAGGATTAGCAATATTTTAGCAGGTTGCACAGGGAGATGTTTAGTAGAAGATAAACATCTGAAACATCTTGCTCACTTAGGACCTGGACTTGGAAACACAGCAGCAAACTGCAAAATGAAAAGCTGAAGATTCAATCTGATTTAAAATGTTGCCACATTAAAGCAAACTGTTTTTTCACTCATGCTTTCATTTGAGCAGAGACATAAATCATGAATAGTTAGCAAAGATATTTAAAATGGACAACTTTCTAAAATGACATTGTAAATACATGCAGATTTTTTGTACTTTGGTTACTGTATATTGAGTATAATTTTACTGATTTTGGCTCTGATATGGTGCCTTTTTCTTTAGTTTTAAGATGCTTCAACTTCTGTTTGCTGTCCTGGATCGTTGCCACAAAGCTTCCTCCCAAGAGTTTATTAGGGACGATACGGTGTTAGCACTTCATTGACCTACAACTTCTTTACCTAACACAAAACTAATAAGGCTCAGGACATTAAGCATGTATGACTTAAGATGAACTAATTACAGGGGATTGGTTGTAGATATTCTGTCCTGTGGATTGCAGCCATTTTACTGTGGTTAAATCTTTCAAACCCACAGCAAGTTGTATTTTTAGCTGTGCTCCAGACACACTGAATGTAAAACAGCTCCATAATAATTGCAGGTGTTTTGAGTAACTTGGGAATGTTCAAATTTTGAAGTGGATTGCATTTGTAAATTACAAAACTCTCATTCAACATGTGGTTAGAGCTTTATATAATCTTACTTTAAACTGAACTCTGGAACACTTTTTGTTTATGTGTGTGTTTGTTTTGTTTTTGTTACGTGACAATTACAAAAAGAAACAACTTACAAAACTGTTTCACAAACTTCCCTTCATGTAAAACTGACAAATAAAGTAAGATTTCTCTGCAGAGACAGTTGCATTGTTACAAAATATTTTTTGTTCTTTTGCATCTGAACTCTAGTTGATTATTTAGGAAATGGCATTTTAAAGTTATTTTTTTATGTAATTGAGTACAATGTGTACATTTATTTAATTTTCTTTAATTTTACCTTCAATAAACAAAAATACATGATACATTTTTTCATGTTACAGGCAAAATGCTCAGATTTCAAATATTGTGCGCCATCCGTCCATCTATCCATCCATCCATCCAGCCAGCCAGCCAGCCAGCCATCCATCCATCCATCCATCAAGCCAGCCAGCCAGTCAGCCAGCCATCCATCCAGCCATCCATCCATCCATCCATCCA